TTTGTGTGACTGTAGATTAAGGAGAAAATCATTTGTGAATCTTTACACTGCAGAAATGCACGTCACTTCTTCCTTGATGGCCTGCTGAACTCTGCGTTTGCCACAGAGTTATGTTTAATTATGATCCACTAACCTGGATTTACTACTTGTAAGCATGTTGGCAGTCTAATAAAAGTGTTTTGGAGTACTGAAATATGTCTTATCAAAATGGTAAAATACAGATATTAAATATTGTGTGCTTAATTTGCAGTTAGTTTCAAAAATCGTCTCGCCCATCTTTTCTTAAAATAAGAGGTGCTCTATAAAAATGACATTAAATTCTGTAAACGTGCTCTATTTGCAATTATTTATCATTACTGTTGTCCAAGTGGTCTCATTTCAAAGTTGAAAGCGAGCATCGGAACGGGCAAGAAAGGCGACTTTTAATTGACTTTGAATGTGTTGTGGTTACTGATATCAGATGGGCTGGGTTGAGAAACTGGCTTAGAATTCCTCTTGCCTTCAGCATGGCCACGCCCCTCTGACTTCTGCAATCAACAAGGCATTTTTACCCAGGGAAATGTTTATTTCGCTTTTCAGTTTGGACTGTTCTCTGTAAATTCCTGAAAAATTTGAGAAGATCAGGAGTGTCTGAAAAACGTAAAACAGCCCATCTGTCACCAACAGCAATGCTGCCTTCAAAGTCACTTAAATCACCCTTTTTTTTCTGGCATGTGATTGGCTGATTAGATATTTGCATTCACAAGCAGCTGAATAGGTTAGTGCAGGGGTCAGCAACCTGCGGCTCTTTAGTCCTTTTAGTGCGGCTCTGCGTGGTTTGGGAAAATAAATTATTTTTTTAAGTAATTAGCTGAAGTGTATTTTATTTATGTTAGTTCTTTTTTAACTTGTAGTTCTAAATTGGAAGATTACTGTGATATTGAAATGAAATATAAATATAAAATTATATTCTATTAGTTTTTGAACGCTCAAAATAAGCGTCACACTTGCGGAAGCCGATATACCCGCCGAAACGCCGTGCATTTATCGAGACTTTCAACCCCAGGTAGGCTAATTATCAATCTTCGGATCCACATTATGTCAGCAGCTCCACCGTGAACTATGTTAAAAACAAACACCGCTCACGCCTCACAGATGACAGCTTACAGTCCTGCATAAAGATGAAAGTGACTTCATACAGCTCCGATTTGCAGACGCTGTGCGCAGAGATTCAGGAGCAGAAGTCCCATTGTAAACATATCACGGCAGACCCAACGATGTTTCCATGAACACGCTTTACAGCTTCTCTTTATTGACCACTTTTCACACACGGTTGCTGTATGCATACAGCCGGTGTTAAAGCTCACAGCCCGACACATACCAACACAACAGCATAGAGAGCACAGACGTTAAGGCGCCGAGGCGTGATCGCGGGTGCCGCTCAGGTGCGTCCGCCTCCCCTGCAGCGGCGCTGCAGACCACGCCCCGCCACACACATTAACCAGGTAAAATACATATTGTCAGGGTTCCTGGGTCGGTGACCCAGTGTTTTCAGTTTTGTTCATGTTCATATATATATATATATATAGCATATAGTAAACAATGAATCTGTAAACGACAGCTGTTGACATTTTTTAAAAATGAATGAAAAAGCATATTTAAATAATCAACATACATGATTTAAATATAAACACACACGTGACAAGAGACAGAACGTGTAGAAGATATATGCAGAAAGAGCTTTCAGTGGTCAGCTGATAACATGATATCTAAAAAATACATAGCTCATTTTCCTGTCTGTTAGTTGGACATGCTAACCTGTTAACAAGCTCCTATATTCACCCATACAGTTTGTAGATCATTTTGCTAAAATAGGTAAAATCTCCACTCTTTCAGGGCACTAATAGGCTAAAGGCATATTACAAAAGGTCATTCATGTATTCACAGATTCTCTGTAGTTATTCTGCTGCTCATTCACCTGTAAAAACCACACCAATCATTATTTCAACAGCCTTTTTATTTTGGAACAAAAGCATTTGACGATATGACTTACAGGACGTTACCAAATTCATGAAGCTATATTTGTGAGTTTATTTATCAATATCAGTTTAATGTAAACAGACTGATGTAGTAATAGACAGTAAAATGTTGGTGCGTGTGTAATATATGAGCGTTTATGTTTCTCTACATGGGTAAAAGTACTCCATGTCGCCCTCTGGTGGTAGCAACCAACTATGAAAAGAATGGATGTTGGATCTTAACTAAATGATAAAAAGTTTTATTACTTTGTATTACTTTCTTTAGTTTGGTAAAATTTACAGTTTTAATCCCGTAAAAAAATAAATCACTATCATAGAGAGGGATATTAGTAATTCGTTTGTTAATAACACTTTGTTTGTGTTTGCTAATGTTTCGACAGGAAAATGGTTTTCTACAAAGTTGTTTCATGTACAGAGTAACACACACACACACACACACACACACACACACACACACACACACACACACACACGTATGACTTTGCCGGTTTCAGCTGAAACAATTTCAGTGTTTCAAACCATGTTCCAGGATTTTTCCTTCAGCATTTATGAGGTTTCAAGAAGAAGATAAACGACAGATATGAATGTTTGAAAAAGTTATAGATGAAAAGATGAAAAATACTCAAAGGATAAATTCAATTGGTTTATTTTTTTATGAATAAGTTGAAAAAGAAAAAGTTAAACAAGTAAATAATGAAACAAGGTAAAATGAAGTAAGAACAAAACGTCAACAAGTAAATAATGAAACAAGGTAAAATGAAGTAAGAACAAAACGTCAACAAGTAAATAATGAAACAAGGTAAAATGAAGTAAGAACAAAACGTTAACAAGTAAATAATGAAACAAGGTAAAATGAAGTAAGAACAAAACAAGTTAACAAGTAAATAATGAAACAAGGTAAAATGAAGTAAGAACAAAACGTTAACAAGTAAATAATGAAACAAGGTAAAATGAAGTAAGAACAAAACGTTAACAAGTAAATAATGAAACAAGGTAAAATGAAGTAAGAACAAAACGTTAACAAGTAAATAATGAAACAAGGTAAAATGAAGTAAGAACAAAACGTAACAAGTAAATAATGAAACAAGGTAAAATGAAGTAAGAACAAAAAGTTAAGTAAATAATGAAACAAGGTAAAATGAAGTAAGAACAAAACGTTAACAAGTAAATAATGAAACAAGGTAAAATGAAGTAAGAACAAAACGTTAACAAGTAAATAATGAAACAAGGTAAAATGAAGCAAGACAAAAAGTTAAGTAAATAATGAAACAAGGTAGAGGAGAGAAAACCCCAACAATCCCCTCTGAGCACGCACTAGGCGACAGTGGGGAGGAAAAACTGCCTTTAAACGGGCAGAAACCTCCGGCAGAACCAGGCTCAGGAGGGGACAGTCAACTGCCGGGACTGGTTGGGGAGGTGAACAGAGGTGGAGCAAGACGAGGCTACACCTGCTGAGGAAGCAGTAGAGTTCCTCCTCCAGGGCCAGCGGAAGCGTTTGTTCTTCTTTTTCATGCAGTTTTCTACAAGAGCTTTTTTTTCCAGGATGAGGGTTCTCAACTCATCGATGGTTTCTTTGTTTTGTTTCTCAAGCTTCTTGCACGTTTTCTCCACCTCTTCCAACGTTGCTTGTTTTTCTTCAAGCTTTTCCCTGAGCTCTTTGGATGTTTCCTCCTGCATTATCTTGTCCTTGTGCATGTCTGCGTTTCTTTGTTGTACTTCTTTGTACATGTCTTGTAGCTCCTCATTTCTTTTGTGGATATCTTGGAGCGTACGCTGCAGGTCGTCATGTATGTTGTCTTGTTCTTGCTTTTGCGCCTGCATTTCAGTGTGTTTGCGCTTCAAGTTGTTGTATTCCAACAATATCCCCTTAGTGAGCTCGGAGTTGTTTCTCGCCATTTGCTCCATCCTTTTCTGCATGTGCGAGCATTGTTTGTCCAGTTTTTCTTTTTCCCCTTCTAGTTGCTTTTTCTCGTGAAGAAGGTCTTTATTTTGGCGCAGAGTATCATCCACCTTCTCTTTCAGCATTCTGTATTTTTCCTCCGTGACTTTGAGTTTGTGCTCCATGTCTCTTTGCTTTTTCTCCTGTTCTTCCTTCTGTTGGAGGATTTCTTCATTTTTTTCACAGCTTCATCGAAGTTTGTTTGGAGCAGCCGATTCATTTGGTCCATATATTGGAGATCCCATTCTGTCTTCTCAACAGTAGCTTTGCTGTCTTTAAGCTGGTTGGACATCTCCTTTAGTTCCACGCTCTTTTGCTTGTTTTCCTTAATTAGGAAGACAACCTGCTCTCGGGCTTGTCCAAACTTGATTCCCCAACCCTCATTAATAATATTTATGTCGGGCTGGCGTTTTTGTCTTTCTTCCAGGTTCTTATTTTGCGCTTCCATCTGTCTACACTTCTCCTCCAGTTGAAGTTTCTCTTCTTCAATCTGTTGAATTTTATTCTGGAGATGGTAGTTTTCCTTCTTACTGTCATGTAATGCCCTTTGGACGGCTAAGAGGTCATTTGGGGAAATTGGCCGGCCACGACAGGAAGGAGAAGCGGCGTAATCTTTTTGCCTTGGTTGGTGTCTTGTTGGATACATGTTGAAGGTTGTACACGACAACTCTGAAAAGGTTTCCAAAAGTTTCTGTGGTGAACGTGTGAAGGCTGCAAACACAAATGCTGCGAAGACACGAACTAAAAAACTGCTGTGTGTCACCCCTGTTTAAGGAAAAACTTCAAAGGATCGTGTAGTGACATCATAACTCCGTGAGCCAATGAGATTGTCATGTGACATTTTGGAATGGGGATATTTTTTTTTAAACCGTTTTCAAATTTAACTTAATATTTGACTGTTTCTTAACTGACCTGTTTAGCTGATTAAGAAATGAATTGAAACGAGCATCACTAACGTTATATAACAGACAACAGAAAAAAAACAGTTTTTTTTCTAAGTAATAGAGGTATAATACATTTTTTAAATTTTTTTTTAAATTATCCTACTTTTTATAAGAGGGAACATTATTTAAAGAATATGTATTTAATTGGAAAACTCTCTATTCGTCTAAAGGCTATAACAAGAAAGGTGAGCTTCCTGCTCAAAAATGAAATGACCAAAATAAATGGAGCATTTCTCTGCAATTACAAACTCTGTGTAAACAATCTTGGTTTCAAAATAAGGCTAATGCTGGTGAGATGTCATCACAGGTGTAAATATTACTGCAGATGTTACTATGTCAAAGTTTCACAACTGTCTTATGTTTATTTATGTAGGCAAGACCTACTTTTCACTTTTTTGCTTTGCTATATGTTCTTGAGTGTATTAGTTTGCCAGCAGCACGAACATGTACTAGTGTCAATAATAATAGTACGGTGGATTAGAAAACCTGCTCACAAGTTGAATAAACATCCAGGATTGTTTCATCATTTTCATTCAAAACCAATATTTGAGTCAAAATGAGAAAGTTGTTTGTGCTGTCTGATGAAGAAGAAGCAAAATAAAGTGCAGTTTTGATGTAGATGATGTTGTATACAAACTAGAAGAGGAAGATAGTAGGATCTCTGTATCATGCTTTGTCACTTTGTACCATGTAATTCTTTCTATTTCCACCAGGGGGTGTTTTCAGAGGTGGTAGGTGGTAAAAGAAGAGGTCAGCAGGAAGATGGCGAAGAGTGACCAAAGACCAAGAAAAAGAGGCAGTCAGGGAAAGATGAAGAGTATTATATCCCTTACAGACCTAAAGACTTTGACTCTGAGAGAGGGTGAGGCATTAAACTGTTGCATCTGTTTCTTTAAAAAATGTGAATGGCTTTGTGTTTTATGCTGTTTTGTCCTGTGTTATGCGTCGACAGGTTGAGTCTCGGTGGAGAGGGCAGTGCTTTTGAACAGCAGGCCTCTTCAGCTGTCCTTGATCTCATGGGAGATGAAGGCGATCGCCTTAACCAGCAGAAGAAAATGATGAAATGGTACAAATTTCCCTATGTTTGACTCAGTATCCACCAAATGGTCATTTCAAACTATAATTTAAAGTCTTTTTTCCCCCTTCTTTTTTTAGGGACCGTAAGAGGAAGCGTTTTGTGAGAGAAACGGGAAAAGAAGACCAGAAGAAGAAGATCAAAACAGACAGCGGTCAGGTTATCAGTAACAAGAAGAACAGGAAGAACTTGTATCCTTCCAACAAAAAGCTTCTCTGTGTGCTGCTCTCAATGACCCTCTTCTCTACTCCTATGACAATATTAAGCTGTACTGTGAAGATGTTGTATCACTTGACAACATGTCAGTTATGAGGAGTGAAGGAAAAAATACAAGATTGATGATACAGGATCTGGATCAGATGGAGAAACAGGCGGAGGAGGCAGGAAGCCAGCAAGAGGTAGGAAGGCATCAAAATGAATAGCACAAACATGTTAAATATAGACCATCAGCCACCATGTTTTAACTCAACTCTAAAGGTAAATACTTCAAGTCCCTCTTCCAGCCTTGCGAGCTATAACCTCCAACCTCTTTGTTGTGTCGTGCCTCTCCCAGGTCGTGGCCGTGGCCGACGAGGTCCAAACGTACAGAGCTCCGGTGACCACAAAGCACGCTCGGAGCTGAAAACAAAGGATCAGATCATGAAGCAGCGCAAGAAAAAGCAGAAGCACCAGTTCCTGCAGGGCGGGGGGATGAGGAAGCTCCGCTCCAAGAACAAAAAGTGGCTCGGAGAAGTTAAAAAGTCAGGTTTTGGAAGGGGTGGCCATAAGAAAGGCAAGCTGAGGAAGAAACTGGGAGGAGGACAGAGGGTTGATGGTGTGGAGGACATCAGGAGGAACTGGGTGATAAGCGTCAGAATCATCTGAGAACATCACCAAAGATTTTCCTGGCGCTTTGTGTGACTGTAGATTAAGGAGAAAATCATTTGTGAATCTTTACACTGCAGAAATGCACGTCACTTCTTCCTTGATGGCCTGCTGAACTCTGCGTTTGCCACAGAGTTATGTTTAATTATGATCCACTAACCTGGATTTACTACTTGTAAGCATGTTGGCAGTCTAATAAAAGTGTTTTGGAGTACTGAAATATGTCTTATCAAAATGGTAAAATACAGATATTAAATATTGTGTGCTTAATTTGCAGTTAGTTTCAAAAATCGTCTCGCCCATCTTTTCTTAAAATAAGAGGTGCTCTATAAAAATGACATTAAATTCTGTAAACGTGCTCTATTTGCAATTATTTATCATTACTGTTGTCCAAGTGGTCTCATTTCAAAGTTGAAAGCGAGCATCGGAACGGGCAAGAAAGGCGACTTTTAATTGACTTTGAATGTGTTGTGGTTACTGATATCAGATGGGCTGGGTTGAGAAACTGGCTTAGAATTCCTCTTGCCTTCAGCATGGCCACGCCCCTCTGACTTCTGCAATCAACAAGGCATTTTTACCCAGGGAAATGTTTATTTCGCTTTTCAGTTTGGACTGTTCTCTGTAAATTCCTGAGAAAATTTGAGAAGATCAGGAGTGTCTGAAAAACGTAAAACAGCCCATCTGTCACCAACAGCAATGCTGCCTTCAAAGTCACTTAAATCACCCTTTTTTTTCTGGCATGTGATTGGCTGATTAGATATTTGCATTCACAAGCAGCTGAATAGGTTAGTGCAGGGGTCAGCAACCTGCGGCTCTTTAGTCCTTTTAGTGCGGCTCTGCGTGGTTTGGGAAAATAAATTATTTTTTTAAGTAATTAGCTGAAGTGTATTTTATTTATGTTAGTTCTTTTTAACTTGTAGTTCTAAATTGGAAGATTACTGTGATATTGAAATGAAATATAAATATAAAATTATATTCTATTAGTTTTTGAACGCTCAAAATAAGCGTCACACTTGCGGAAGCCGATATACCCGCCGAAACGCCGTGCATTTATCGAGACTTTCAACCCCAGGTAGGCTAATTATCAATCTTCGGATCCACATTATGTCAGCAGCTCCACCGTGAACTATGTTAAAAACAAACACCGCTCACGCCTCACAGATGACAGCTTACAGTCCTGCATAAAGATGAAAGTGACTTCATACAGCTCCGATTTGCAGACGCTGTGCGCAGAGATTCAGGAGCAGAAGTCCCATTGTAAACATATCACGGCAGACCCAACGATGTTTCCATGAACACGCTTTACAGCTTCTCTTTATTGACCACTTTTCACACACGGTTGCTGTATGCATACAGCCGGTGTTAAAGCTCACAGCCCGACACATACCAACACAACAGCATAGAGAGCACAGACGTTAAGGCGCCGAGGCGTGATCGCGGGTGCCGCTCAGGTGCGTCCGCCTCCCCTGCAGCGGCGCTGCAGACCACGCCCCGCCACACACATTAACCAGGTAAAATACATATTGTCAGGGTTCCTGGGTCGGTGACCCAGTGTTTTCAGTTTTGTTCATGTTCATATATATATATATATATAGCATATAGTAAACAATGAATCTGTAAACGACAGCTGTTGACATTTTTTAAAAATGAATGAAAAAGCATATTTAAATAATCAACATACATGATTTAAATATAAACACACACGTGACAAGAGACAGAACGTGTAGAAGATATATGCAGAAAGAGCTTTCAGTGGTCAGCTGATAACATGATATCTAAAAAATACATAGCTCATTTTCCTGTCTGTTAGTTGGACATGCTAACCTGTTAACAAGCTCCTATATTCACCCATACAGTTTGTAGATCATTTTGCTAAAATAGGTAAAATCTCCACTCTTTCAGGGCACTAATAGGCTAAAGGCATATTACAAAAGGTCATTCATGTATTCACAGATTCTCTGTAGTTATTCTGCTGCTCATTCACCTGTAAAAACCACACCAATCATTATTTCAACAGCCTTTTTATTTTGGAACAAAAGCATTTGACGATATGACTTACAGGACGTTACCAAATTCATGAAGCTATATTTGTGAGTTTATTTATCAATATCAGTTTAATGTAAACAGACTGATGTAGTAATAGACAGTAAAATGTTGGTGCGTGTGTAATATATGAGCGTTTATGTTTCTCTACATGGGTAAAAGTACTCCATGTCGCCCTCTGGTGGTAGCAACCAACTATGAAAAGAATGGATGTTGGATCTTAACTAAATGATAAAAAGTTTTATTACTTTGTATTACTTTCTTTAGTTTGGTAAAATTTACAGTTTTAATCCCGTAAAAAAATAAATCACTATCATAGAGAGGGATATTAGTAATTCGTTTGTTAATAACACTTTGTTTGTGTTTGCTAATGTTTCGACAGGAAAATGGTTTTCTACAAAGTTGTTTCATGTACAGAGTAACACACACACACACACACACACACACACACACACACACACACACACACACACACACGTATGACTTTGCCGGTTTCAGCTGAAACAATTTCAGTGTTTCAAACCATGTTCCAGGATTTTTCCTTCAGCATTTATGAGGTTTCAAGAAGAAGATAAACGACAGATATGAATGTTTGAAAAAGTTATAGATGAAAAGATGAAAAATACTCAAAGGATAAATTCAATTGGTTTATTTTTTTATGAATAAGTTGAAAAAGAAAAAGTTAAACAAGTAAATAATGAAACAAGGTAAAATGAAGTAAGAACAAAACGTCAACAAGTAAATAATGAAACAAGGTAAAATGAAGTAAGAACAAAACGTCAACAAGTAAATAATGAAACAAGGTAAAATGAAGTAAGAACAAAACGTCAACAAGTAAATAATGAAACAAGGTAAAATGAAGTAAGAACAAAACGTTAACAAGTAAATAATGAAACAAGGTAAAATGAAGTAAGAACAAAACGTTAACAAGTAAATAATGAAACAAGGTAAAATGAAGTAAGAACAAAACGTTAACAAGTAAATAATGAAACAAGGTAAAATGAAGTAAGAACAAAACGTTAACAAGTAAATAATGAAACAAGGTAAAATGAAGTAAGAACAAAAAGTTAAGTAAATAATGAAACAAGGTAAAATGAAGTAAGAACAAAACGTTAACAAGTAAATAATGAAACAAGGTAAAATGAAGCAAGCACAAAAAGTTAAGTAAATAATGAAACAAGGTAAAATGAAGTAAGAACAAAACGTTAAGTAAATAATGAAACAAGGTAGAGGAGAGAAAACCCCAACAATCCCCTCTGAGCACGCACTAGGCGACAGTGGGGAGGAAAAACTGCCTTTAAACGGGCAGAAACCTCCGGCAGAACCAGGCTCAGGAGGGGACAGTCAACTGCCGGGACTGGTTGGGGAGGTGAACAGAGGTGGAGCAAGACGAGGCTACACCTGCTGAGGAAGCAGTAGAGTTCCTCCTCCAGGGCCAGCGGAAGCGTTTGTTCTTCTTTTTCATGCAGTTTTCTACAAGAGCTTTTTTTTCCAGGATGAGGGTTCTCAACTCATCGATGGTTTCTTTGTTTTGTTTCTCAAGCTTCTTGCACGTTTTCTCCACCTCTTCCAACGTTGCTTGTTTTTCTTCAAGCTTTTCCCTGAGCTCTTTGGATGTTTCCTCCTGCATTATCTTGTCCTTGTGCATGTCTGCGTTTCTTTGTTGTACTTCTTTGTACATGTCTTGTAGCTCCTCATTTCTTTTGTGGATATCTTGGAGCGTACGCTGCAGGTCGTCATGTATGTTGTCTTGTTCTTGCTTTTGCGCCTGCATTTCAGTGTGTTTGCGCTTCAAGTTGTTGTATTCCAACAATATCCCCTTAGTGAGCTCGGAGTTGTTTCTCGCCATTTGCTCCATCCTTTTCTGCATGTGCGAGCATTGTTTGTCCAGTTTTTCTTTTTCCCCTTCTAGTTGCTTTTTCTCGTGAAGAAGGTCTTTATTTTGGCGCAGAGTATCATCCACCTTCTCTTTCAGCATTCTGTATTTTTCCTCCGTGACTTTGAGTTTGTGCTCCATGTCTCTTTGCTTTTTCTCCTGTTCTTCCTTCTGTTGGAGGATTTCTTCATTTTTTTTCACAGCTTCATCGAAGTTTGTTTGGAGCAGCCGATTCATTTGGTCCATATATTGGAGATCCCATTCTGTCTTCTCAACAGTAGCTTTGCTGTCTTTAAGCTGGTTGGACATCTCCTTTAGTTCCACGCTCTTTTGCTTGTTTCCTTAATTAGGAAGACAACCTGCTCTCGGGCTTGTCCAAACTTGATTCCCCAACCCTCATTAATAATATTATGTCGGGCTGGCGTTTTTGTCTTTCTTCCAGGTTCTTATTTTGCGCTTCCATCTGTCTACACTTCTCCTCCAGTTGAAGTTTCTCTTCTTCAATCTGTTGAATTTTATTCTGGAGATGGTAGTTTTCCTTCTTACTGTCATGTAATGCCCTTTGGACGGCTAAGAGGTCATTTGGGGAAATTGGCCGGCCACGACAGGAAGGAGAAGCGGCGTAATCTTTTTGCCTTGGTTGGTGTCTTGTTGGATACATGTTGAAGGTTGTACACGACAACTCTGAAAAGGTTTCCAAAAGTTTCTGTGGTGAACGTGTGAAGGCTGCAAACACAAATGCTGCGAAGACACGAACTAAAAAACTGCTGTGTGTCACCCCTGTTTAAGGAAAAACTTCAAAGGATCGTGTAGTGACATCATAACTCCGTGAGCCAATGAGATTGTCATGTGACATTTTGGAATGGGATATTTTGTTTTAAACCGTTTTCAAATTTAACTTAATATTTGACTGTTTCTTAACTGACCTGTTTAGCTGATTAAGAAATGAATTGAAACGAGCATCACTAACGTTATATAACAGACAACAGAAAAAAAACAGTTTTTTTCTAAGTAATAGAGGTATAATACATTTTTTAAATTTTTTTTTAAATTATCCTACTTTTTATAAGAGGGAACATTATTTAAAGAATATGTATTTAATTGGAAAACTCTCTATTCGTCTAAAGGCTATAACAAGAAAGGTGAGCTTCCTGCTCAAAAATGAAATGACCAAAATAAATGGAGCATTTCTCTGCAATTACAAACTCTGTGTAAACAATCTTGGTTTCAAAATAAGGCTAATGCTGGTGAGATGTCATCACAGGTGTAAATATTACTGCAGATGTTACTATGTCAAAGTTTCACAACTGTCTTATGTTTATTTATGTAGGCAAGACCTACTTTTCACTTTTTTGCTTTGCTATATGTTCTTGAGTGTATTAGTTTGCCAGCAGCACGAACATGTACTAGTGTCAATAATAATAGTACGGTGGATTAGAAAACCTGCTCACAAGTTGAATAAACATCCAGGATTGTTTCATCATTTTCATTCAAAACCAATATTTGAGTCAAAATGAGAAAGTTGTTTGTGCTGTCTGATGAAGAAGAAGCAAAATAAAGTGCAGTTTTGATGTAGATGATGTTGTATACAAACTAGAAGAGGAAGATAGTAGGATCTCTGTATCATGCTTTGTCACTTTGTACCATGTAATTCTTTCTATTTCCACCAGGGGGTGTTTTCAGAGGTGGTAGGTGGTAAAAGAAGAGGTCAGCAGGAAGATGGCGAAGAGCGACCAAAGACCAA